TGATTTTTAAAATGCTAAAAAAATGTCTTTCTGGAGTCTATTTATGCCCGCTCAGTACCCCTGAGGGCTCTGGCTCTTCAATGGGTTTCTAACAACCATTGTATAAATACTACATAGAAATGAGGGAAGAAACACACAGAATAAAGAGGGGAAAAAATCCCTTTGTGTCAGCAAAAAAAGGCAGCTTTGGCTAATGTAAATATTTTTATTCTGCAGGGGAAAGAATAGAGGGCTGTGTAAGATAGTGTAGTTGATACAGGCAGTTGCCTCTCTCCTGCCTGTCACAATTAAAGCTAACCTGAGGCTCTGTGTGATCTCAGCTAATCCTGCAACAAAAGGGCCTTTCATCCTAAAATCATTATATCACACTCAGCTCCGTACACCGCTGTTCAGGGAAGAGATGTTCAGCCTTTTTCAAGGTTCTGCTTTGTCCCTTGGCACAAGCGGGAGCTTCAGTGACTTAGGAACCAACATTTTAATTTCAGCCTTCTAGTTCATCACTGCCTAGAGCACTTTTGAAAAGAAGACTTCCAATCCTGAATCCCTCTCATCACCTCAAATCATAGTACCCCAAAGTTTTGTCCCTTCTGCACATCCATATAGGGAGAATGAAATTTAGTTGTTGTGTAAAATGACCGAGTGGAAAAGAATGCTTAGCAGGAGACTGAAAGCTGAAGCTAGACAAATAATTGGAAACCAGGCTCAAATTTCATACAACTGCCCAAAATCTGGGGGGAAAGGAAATGCTGTAATCTCCCTGTCCTAACATTTTCAAGATGAAGGGAAGATTTCTTTCGGGGAGCTATAGTCTATCAAACACCAAGGCTTGGGCTAAACAGAGGGGTAACTTTAAGAGCAATCGTCAGGGTAAGTTTTAATGGCCTGCTACATGCAGTTAGTCTGGATAAATACTCAGCAAAACTCAGGGAGCTGATTCCACAAGCCAGCCAAAATTAAATGTATCAAGGCTGAATATGGAAAAAGCAGAGAGCTCCCTAAGACCAAATACTCTCAGTTCTTGCTGCTGAAAAACAATTCTGATCAATATTTCTTTATCTGTTCTGTGAAGTATTTGTAACCCATAATGTTACATACAAAAGCCCAAGTACAAAATCCATATCCAGATTCCCATGAAAGTAAACAAGAAAAAGGGAGGAAGTGTCAGTTTTTCATTGATCATAAAGAAAAGCCACTGGGGCAATGCTGTACAAGATAAGCAATGAACGTGTTGATTAAGAAAAGTGGGGAAGTAACACATGACTCACAGTGACTAAGTTTCATGGCAGGAGCTACAAGAGAAAGATTCATTTATGACTTCCAGCACATAGAATTGATATCTCCAGGCATAATTTATATTCACACCGTCATCTAACTGGTCTCCTGAAACATCATGTGCTGTCAATGAATGGCACAGCTTTTGAAAAACAGGACAGAAATAGTGACAAGATACGGTTTGTACACTTAATACTGCTTATGCAAAAATGTAGCAACGATGTGGCAACTGTAATAGTACTCTAGTCTGGGACTCAGGAAAGACAGGTTCTAGTTTGCTATTACACCCGAACTTGATTAAGTTAGTGCAAATCAGTTTTCCCGCCTCCTTAATGGGAGATAATAGTCCTTACCTCATTCTAAAATGCATTATATCAACTGATAGGAACTCAGCGTAAGCGTAGGGCTCTTGTACGCAGTTAAAGGCACAGCCTGAAACCTGATGTGGCCCAGATGTGGAATTAATCATTCGTAACTAAAGACACAAAAAATTCTACACTAAAATCTTCCCATTGTGTGGCATTATGCCTGCTATTACAGCCTTGTTCCTACAATACCTTCATTTGCTTTTTTTAAATAAAGTGACAAATGTTTTTAAACAAGGTGACGTGGTAACAGAACTGAGAAACAAATGAAGCTTAAATATGGGATGATCCAAAGTAACTGGCAAGCATCGCCTGATTGAAGGCATAGCTGAGACGCATTGATGAGAGTATTCCCCCATTACATATGTTGGACAGATAAAGAATTTTAATCCAGAAGAAATTTAAAAAAAAAAAAAAAAAAAAGAAGAGAGAGTTTAGGCTTTGGTAAATAGTTAGATAGCAAAATTTGTAAAGAAATATATTGCCCACAAGGAACTCTGGCAGACAGTTAAACTGACTTGTGAAATAGTTTAAAAGGCTTCTTTAAAGTTGCATTTCAGTGTTAACTCTGAATATCCACTAAAAACTATTTTGTTAACATTTAGTGGCAGATCTACAGTTCTAGATGCGACTTGCAGTTCAGAGGGCCTAATATGTAAGTATTTAAGTGCACATTCTTGTAATAGTATGCTTTAAAATGCTTAAACTCGGACGATAAAGAAAGCAGAGAACTGGTCTTCCTGGCGTTATTCCAGTACAGCTGAAATGAATTACAGCCCTTCCATTGAAAGGCGTAACAAAGAAATAACAAAAACCTTTTAAAACTAAGCACTTCCATCATGTGGGAAGCATTTGAGTGGGCAAAGCTGAGGTGTATGAATTAGTGGCTCCAGTCCCATAGACAAGCATACAGGCAGTGCAGGCAAACAAAGTGAAGGACTGGAGAAACAAAACGTTTTTCTAACATGTATCACAAAACATCAGAGAATGAATTATTTCATAAGCTTGCCCTGACAAATTTCCTAGGGGTGTAAAGCTGCTAGTAAAAAGCACTGAGCCACCAGACCTGCAACAGGAAGACTGTCCAGATGCTGCATTTTTTCATGGTTGTGTATTGTCCAAATATATGTGTGTGTGTATATACATATACACATGTGTGAATCTATATATTCAAATATCATAAAGCATTTGAGATCATGGAATTCAAAGTTATACCATTTGAATATGTACCAGAAAGACTCAAGAGGCCTACATTAAACAAATTTGTCAATGGCCTGATGATCTACTGGACAGCAGGCCACAGTCTTTTGCTGGAAAGTGAGAATTATAAATACTCTGTATTGTGGTAGTTATTCATGAACACAATGTTTTAGCTCAATAATATCAGGATAAATTCTGAATCCTGATGAATTCTACATCAAACAGCTACAAAATTTATAATGTTTTCATCATTAGTGCTTTATAAAATAATCTATTATGCAAGATATAGTGTTGCAGTTCAGAAAAACTACACTGCTTCCATGGAATTATATAAATTTACACCATTCAAGTTCTGGCTGGTATGGGCCTGTGTGGGATTACATAAATGCATGTAAAAAAAAATATATATATATATGTACACAAAATGCTCTTTTGATAATGACAACTGTAACAATATGTGAATGTGCATGCATACACAGATTTCTGTTTCCCTGATCTCATCAAGAGATTGTTCATTTGCTCCCATTTCTGAACTTCTTCCCAGTTAACACTGATCCCAGACCAGCCATCTGAGAAGCACTGTCTTCATGTTTTATGTGGCTCTGTCATGGCTTTTGGCTTGTCTTTTACCTTTTTCCTTTATTCAGGAGACACATAAACCTTTACAAGGTGAAAATTGTATTTTTACCTACATTTTGGGTACCTCAGGTTTCTCCCACAGCTGGCTGGATGTTCCAGTTGGTATGCCTTTATAACTATACTGTTCCCAACACCTTAAGCATGATAAGTACTATCCTAGCTTATATCTCATACCAGAGATTTAAACTGTTATTAAATTTGTTAATACAAATCAATATGGAGTAGAAAACATATGGGACAGAGAACATAATTTGCAGATTTTTAGAAAATGTTCCTTTCCTACATCATTTCAGACTTATACCAACAGTTGCTTGTCCAGTGACTTTGCTCTCAATGTAAGGAACTCATTGCAACTGAGAGCCAAAACCAAGTCATTCCACATTTGTATTTTGACTCCTAAAGTTTGCCAAATATGTATTTCCCAGCAGCAATGCAAATGGAAAGACTTTCTCCATATTGACGTATCCATAGAAACTGCAGGTTTTATGTATTATATAGGACTCCCTGCCCAATCTCTTCCATTACTTAAGAATGGAGGAACAGCCAATTCTCTCAAATATATAGACTCGGCTAGAATAAACTTTCCCATAACAAACTGACACAAAAGACTCAGACTTGAGCTTTATAAAACCACTTGATAAACTGATTTACTGTCCCCACATGATGCTGCACACAGATACAGTTTTCATGCTACTTACCAAATTAATATCTCTGCTCTGAAAGTAATAAAGTGTACAACTTACCAGTTTGTACCAATATTTTAATTAATATTCAGTAAATAAAGAGGCAAACTTTGTACTTTAGCACCACAGTAGTACTAGTATATTCTGCAAGTGTTTATTCTTTACCTCAGTTTTAAGGCAACAATTCATATAATATAGAAAAAGAATTTTCAAGTCCAAACAGGTTTTTACTTATTCTGAAATTTTCATTCAGCTTAAATGAGAGCCTAGGTCTTTTAGGTGCAGAGTCTTCCAGCAGTGGCTTGTGAGGGGGAAAAAAGATGCTATAGCTAGAGGTCTTGGAAACACCAGCATTCTCTAACTACTAGAAGCTTACTCAAGTCCTTCCCCACACTGAGAGCACATTCTTTATGCTGCTGCCTGCGATCAGGAGCATGTTGCAGCTGCACCAAAGGACTTTAGGTAATGAATACTCCTAGATAGCACTGGATTTGATGTAACTCTCCACAGTGACTCTTAAGAAGCCCCACATTACTTCAACTGATTCAAAAGAAACAGCATTAACCCGAACAACGAGAATCACTCTCTGTCAGATTCACATGGAAAATAAAAATAGGTAAGTAAATAAATAAATAAGGACTACAAATTACTAATTCTGAGTATCCTGGTACACTCAAGGGAGACAGTACTTGTTTTCCTGATGCCGCAGGGACATGTGTTCATTTCAGTAATTCAAAACAGATCTAATTCCTTTTATTCATTACATTTTCTAAGGTGGCTTGGTGCATTTTTTTTTAAATGTGAGATGTTGATCTGAAATAAACATTTTTTTTTCTACCAGGGAAATATCTTGATGATTCCCAAGAATGTCAGTTGTGTGAAGCATCCTGTCAGAAATGCATTGGACCTGAGCCAGACAACTGCATCAGCTGCCCACTCACGAGGTAATTGTCTCCTAGCACAGTGCAGCACAAAGACCTTGCATCGTCATCTGCTGAAGTGGCTGTATGGTCTTTAGCACTAGCTTGCAAAGTCAACTGAAGAAGCAAGCAATTATTAGGGCAAACAAAACCATGGCAAGTGAGAAAAGAAGTGTTATGTGAACAACACAGTTGGCTACACAGGTGGTTGATGTTTAGCCAGATCATTCCCACAGATACAGAAAAATTTCTTTTAATATGTGAAATAGTATTTCTTTCATTGTCATTCTTTCAAAATCATAATTGCTGGGATCGTAATTACTGGAATCACAACAGTGAGAAATTTAACAAGAGTCTAGGGCATCTGTAGTTGTACACAGCTATGGGGTTTAGCAAAAGGCATGAATATGGACACTGCTAGCAATCAGCTAATTCAGGAGATACAGCACCTAAACCTCACTCTCTAACTGAGGCATTTTAAGTTAGGCTAATTTTTCTAACCTGCCATGAGGAGTTAACCAGAGAACTAGAAAGAAGCTCTTCCACAGCACATTGCAGATCAGAAGCTTATGTTTAGGTCATCCTGCACCGAATCCTGGAGTCTTCTGGTTTCAAACTCATGTCCTACCTCGTGAGCTCTGTTCTTACACATTCATGAGCTTTATCCTCATACCTATATCTCTGGTTCTGTTGGACTGGATTGCGCTGTAGACATCTGATATTTACACTTGTATGAAATCAGAATCAGATCATGTAAGGCATAGCAAAAAAATCCCCAAGCAATCCTGCAATTTACCCTGCAAATATCTATGATATGATTATGCCAATAAAAGACACACCAGGACCAATCAAGTCCAAACAAACTCATAACTGAGGAAACAGTATGAAATTAAGGTGTGTTACATCAGAAAAAGCATTAGCACAGGAAGTCTGGGCAGAATTTTGGATTTCTCTGATTCACAATTGCATTTAAATTAGATTGTTTGTGTTTCTTTACAACCTATTTTGTGAGCTTTATATGCATATATTTGCAAAACAAAGAAGGTACTGAACAACGCTATTAGGTAAAACCACCTAGGTGTTTGCAGTAATGAAGCCTCTGTGACTTTTTGGAAGGATGCTGCTGTGTCGCCCATAACAAATCCTCTAACAGTTTTCAATTTTGGTATCTAAGTTTTCATAAAGCTTTCTGTGCTCCTTCTGCACATTGTGAAAGCTGTTAGAAAAAGTCATATTAGGACAGCCAGCAGTAAAAGAAATAATAAAGAAGTATCTCACCCAGAGGCTAAAGAGTAAATCCTTCCAAGGGCCATTATTCATTATGTACTTGAAACAGACTTGTTCAATTGAAACAGAATCCTAAATCCTGTTGCTTTTGAGAGCTTCGGATGGTGTCTATTGAAGACAGTAATGATTGCCCATTAGATAACAAACTAAAATTCAGCAGTGCTGCTTTCCTACAGGAGAACACATTTCCTCTTTGAAAAGGATGATAAGACTTGCAGGAGCGATTACTGAAAATAATGTGAAAATGAAAACACTGAACAATCCCCATTCTTTGTGGAAATTCAGTGGTAGATGTCACCCTATTTCATAATAAAATCACTGTCAGATCATCTTCTTGTTTGACAATTCAAAATGCTCTTACCTGTTTTTAAAAAATTATGGAATTGTAGTTTTTTGTCCAGCCAAACTGATTTTCACAAAATTCCTTATCCATTTGTTTACTCTTTGAGGTACAAAGGTTAGTGACAAGATCTGACCTGCTAGTGTCTTCCATTAGGAGCAACATAACAAAAAGCAAGAAAAATGTACTTTACCACTGTGTGAGCTGCTTGTAAGGGTGGCTGTCATTACAGCCAGCACTAGTAGTATAACACAGTAATATTTTCATGTCACATAAGCATAGCCCAGCTACTCCAGTACTTCTGTCACATTGTCCTGTTTGCACAGAAACCAGCCAGAGGGGGCTGCAGTCCCTCTAAAGAGCTGAACATGCAGGTATAGCCAGATGAGCTACAGTCTGCATAAGACTATCTTACTGTAAGACTCTAGAGCAGAGATACATCTTTGCTGAATACTTCATATAACCATACAAGCTTCTCCCTGACTCCCTCCAGCAGCCTGCTTTCAGCATCACAAGACTTTTTAATCAATTCTAAAGTTTTCTTTGTAACGTGCACTTCAAGAAGGCTGTTTGCGTGATAGCCTGTTCTTCCATCTTCACACTTCATCAGCCTAGACTTTTCCAATCATGGTAAATTTTAAATGGTTTCAGAAAATATTTGACAAAATTGGTTTTAAAATTTGCAGATTTTTTTTCCCTTTTCTTTCAGAATAAATCTGACAATGACCATAGCAACCCATATTTATGAAGGCTTATTGCAGGCATTCTCTAATGCCATCAGCTGGCTCCAAGGAAGCATGTACTACCACAGTGTTATGGAAAGCCCACTCTAAGTGTATAGACAAGCTGATAATCCCAAAATCTGTACTAATATCTTGAATGGTGCTTAGCTTCTCTAGAAACTGAGTCCGAAGTCCTCAGATACAAAACTGGTCAAGGCAGTTAAGTGTGGAAGATTACAGTCACTCCTCTCTTATTTTCTTAATATCAAAAACACCATCAAATTCTAGCCAACTTGTTTTATATTCTTTTAATAGTCGCATCTGTGTTGATGCTTTTCTACATTTCTTCCAAACAGATTAAAACCAGTAGACATTAAGTAGTCATGAAAAATGGACTAGAAATTTTCATCATATAAAAGGACTCTGTAACAAATATTTCATTACCCATCAAAAGGAGAATATTTAGCAGCAAAACTCCAAAGTGTTTGCAGATATGTGAGTCTAAAAATACAGCTCCTAAAGGCTAAGATTCACTTAGATGTTTGATTTTACGTACAAAGTCATCTTACTGAAGTCATAGCACTGTTCATAGGAAGCCTTTAAAGTAAAACTAACAGGAAACTTCAACAGATGGATCATTTCTTCAGAGAGAAAGACCAAATCCTGCTTTCCTACTAACAGATAGAAGTGACCACTGCAGAGATTGTGGTAGAAGGACGTCTAGGTACAGGTCCAAAAGGTGATTTTTCTCAGAAAAAGAAAAAAAATAATCACTGAAGTCCAAAATCCAGGTTCAAAACTCTGTTGACTTTCCATTTAGTAAGTACTTTGAATAAGATCAGAAAAATGAGGGCATAATGTGCAAAGAGTAAATAGAGTTAAGTAAGAATATCTTGGGTTTCTTGTTAGTTTCCTTTAAATTTAAAGAACAAATAGTTGCTAAATGTGTAATTATGCCTCTCTGCCTCAAAAGAGTCTTTGATGATGGTCGCTGTGTTATGCAATGCCCTAGAGGAAAGTTTGAATTCAAAGGACAATGTCATTTGTGCCATCATACCTGCCTGGATTGCAGTGGAAGTGAACCTAACAAATGTACTGCTTGTGGAACAGGTAAGAAAGATTTCTTTCTGTAGCTTTTTCCTCTTCCTTGGCCTTCAAGTTCCCTTTGCCACTGCTCTCAGGGACAGATGTTACAGCCAACAAAATAAATCATGCTTTTGCTACTGATCTGCATCATAAACTTGGTTTAACCCTGAAGGGAATTTGAACCCAATTTATTTTTAAAAAAGTACAAGAAAACACAACTCTGCATTGTTCTTGTATCTTTATGAATTTCCCTTGGTATATTTTGAATAGGAGCTGTGTTAACAGAAACAGAAAAGGTAGCACAGGAAAAAAAAGGACAGAAAACCTACACAGCCTGCCTCTGCAAAAGAAAGCTCCATACATGCCTTCCCCAGCCTCTACACAGTATATGCTACACTGAAATGGAGCAAGTTTGCACAAGCAGGCAGGCAGCCATGGCGCTTTCCAAAACGTCTGTCTGTGGAAAGCTAGGAAACAAGCATGGTGGGTTCCACTGCAGACTGTCCCTACAGCTGGATAAAAGGGGCCTGCAAACATAAGCTTATGACTAACACTTATAGAAACTTGTCTTTCTGACATATTTTTATAGAGCTTATGTTGAGAGAGAAGGTAATATAACAAATTCGTGGTTGTTCCAAAAAGCAATTCACCTCTTTTTGAAGCTCCATTTTAAACATTGTTCCCTCTTGCCTCTCTAACACCTGATGGGCAAAGAACTTGAGGTTATTACATACAAGTATGTGTGTAACTAGCCTGAACTGACCTTGGAAATGAGTATTTGACTTTCAATTCACTTAAGAAAGAGGAATTTTTGGTGAGCTTGTGATAGGTAGAGACACGGACAATTTAAAGTGTCAAAATCCAATGCGAATTTTATTATATTAGCAAGCAAACAA